TGTGGTTTGAACGCTTGTGATGAAATTCAGTTTCCTTTTCAATTAAAGAACTTTCGTTTCATCTTACTCACTTTTCTATGCATATCTAATAGACTTATGATCAAATCATTTGAGTTTCACTTCAAATTTATATTTCATCTGTATCAGCCTTTTATGATTTCGAAGCATGATCAAAAGTGAACCTCAGGATATGTCTGGATTGAAACCTTGTTTAAGAGAAGGTTTTTTTATAGTTTAGTAACTGATAAAAATTATGTAGTGAAATTTTAATTATAGCTATTCGAATGCAGAAAAATATACTATCAATTTTTATTTCATACTCCTATCAGACTATTTTACAGCATTGCATTGTTCTCGCATGTATCACGTTGTAAATAACCTGATTTTGTTTTGAAACTATTCTGCTTTTGTTCTGTGAATTACTTTTTAATTCTAGCTCAAACGAGCATCAAGGAAACAACTTTTTTTTGTTGACCACATAAGGTAAATGAATCAGATCTTCTAAAGCACGAATTCAATCCGAAAAGTAGCAATTATATTAAAATTATCAATTTTTCGTAAGCTATGTTTTTTAACTGGTCTGTTTTTGAATAATCCCGATTATTATGGGTATTCGTTCTCAATAGGCATGCAGTTAAAAATCATTCCAAAATCAACATGAAAAGAAGGAGGCAGAAAGAGACAAGAATAACGCATAGAATGTTTTAATTATGTGAAAATAACAAACAAATAATTTCACAAATAAGAAACCCATCTATCATACGTAATGCTCAATGAAGTTCAAAGACACCATCACTAAAATACTTTCCAGTTAGTCGATCTTAATTACTTGCTCATGACGAGTAACTTATTAAAGCGATTTCTAAGACTATCAAATGTATTTTTAAACACTACAACAAAAACTAATATATGAACAAAATAGTGGTGACACAGATTTTCGAAATATGTCAAATTAGTGACGACTCAGAAGTAGCTCACATAAGGATGTGGAGCTGTTGCGATTTTATTAACAAAACGACAATATTTTTTTTGACACAATTCATCAAAAATGCTCTGCTTTGCTATGAAAAGAAAAAAAAATTTCAGCATTAGCAAAGCTTTGCAAAGTAAAACTGATAGTTGATATCATATATTCTTTTTGATTGGTCTCCGTTACATTTTATTTCTTCAATCATCATGAGAAAAAAATAAATGAAATAAAAAGTGTTCTGTGCAGGTGTCGAACCTGCGACCTTCTGCGTGTTAAGCAGATGTGATAACCGCTACACCAACAGAACTACATTTAATCTAGTGGTTTTTAACCAGCTAACTCTGATGATTTGAATCTAAGTAAAAATAATGCAGATTTCAGAGAAGGGATGATGGCGATTTAATTTGCGAAAGAAGAATACACCCGACATCCTCCGATCTTATCATTTCTTCACATTCACACCCATACCCTCACTTGTTCTTATGTTAATCATTTTGCTTGCGCTTTTGTTCCACTCTATTCCTGCTGCGATATACAACATATTTCGATTTTACTCTGCATGTTCATCTCACTCAAATACTCATACAGTTAATATACATATCTAAATCATCTTAATTAATTAATAAACCATTGAAAAATAATTTTCGTGTATAACTATACGTCGAATCGATTTTGGTGTATCGCAAGTATGATTGAAGTATCGAATAAGATCATCAACAATCTTCAAAAATAATTTCAATTTACAATGGAATAATTCATTACTGCACACATATCTATTCAGCATGGACGTCATTTTTTAGTTTGAAACCAACTATATCCTATTGAGTTTATCTATTATAAATAGATTCGATGATAACAACAAAAAGGCAAACCTAACATGATGAATGACTCGAAATTGCTAAAACCTACTTCGAATAACTTTAATATTTATCATAAATGAGGAAAATAACGAAGAATTTTGAGTGGTTTCAATACGAATCGAAGTATCGATCAATAAAAATGAAAATTTTTATTGAAAATACTCGCATTTAATAAACTAATATAAAATACAATTCAATATCATTCTTAGAAAAAATATTAAGAAATCATAATATTAATATCACAACATATCGTTTTTTTTTCGTTAGATGTTGATTGAATATAAAAATCTTAATATGAAAATTAATGAAATATCTTGGTAACAATTCTTCCTAACAAATTTAGAGAAAATGAATGAGTTTTGTCTAAACTCATTGTATTTAATTAATTGTCAATCAACTTGTATAAATAATCAAAAAATCTTAGTGAAAAGAATTTTTGACAATAAAACGAAAACTTCTCTTCATAAAACCATTTGTTTATCAACGAAATAGATCGACATACATAAAATAAACTGCTTTTGGTTAGTTACACATGATTTTTAAGTTCATGAAGAATAAATATATATTCGATTAACAATCGGTTCGCAACTAAAAAATTGTTCTATCGTTTAGAGAGAACTAATTTTTCGTTGTTTGTCTAAAGCTAAAATATGATTCATTTTGTTTGAACAAAGACAGATGAATCGGTTTTTTTTTAATATAAGTGCAAATCGTCATCTTTTCTTCATCAATCTCGTCAATAAACAGTTACTCTTTCGTCTTCGTTCGAGTTAGACGCATCGCAATTTTGCTTACATTCCTTTGTAAGTACTATTATCTTTCCATCGGAGTGAGGTAATTGACACACGATGGAAACTAATTATCACTACTATTCAAGTGGTGAACAAAGATACGTAGGAAATAAGCGGTCGCTGATTAATAACTCATACAACCAGCAGATAAATTTACAAGAAGCTTCCAATATGGTATCAGGTCATAATGATGGTCTTGGCGTACAACGAGAATACATTGTAAATGCATTGGCAAACGATGAATCATTGTTAAATGATTTCTTACAATTTCGTCAACAACAACAAGCACAATGTCGAATTCAAAAAACAGGACACAATGTATCACCGTACTATGAAAAGGTTTCGTCAAATAAACCATTAATTCACAAACAACTAAATCAATCTAAAAAGATGCAATCAAGACTACAAGTACAACAAGATGCATCAACGCCAAACAAGTGCAGATTAAATGATAGTGCTGAATCAGGAGGATTACCAACACCGAAACAACAACGATCAGGTAATGAACAATTTCAAGAAAATGAAATAATACTAGATGCACCAGATGATAGTCAACAGGTGGATACAACATTAAAATGCGTGAAGCAACACAAGATTCCTTTCGATCAAGTGAAACGGGCTGTTTCAAGCAATCTTCCATGTTTCTATATGACATTTCACCCTACAAATACAGATCAAAAAG